GTAGAACTACCCTTGTGAATTTCTGAGACTGTAACTCTTTTCACGAGTAGAAAACCCTGTATTTCTCCTGTGTAAGTATATAAACTATATATTATTTGATGAATACAAGAGTATAAATATTAAACATTTACCGGTATTATATACGCTTATATATACAAGGGGACTTCAAAAAGTTCATGGAAAAATGGAATGAAAAGATGGAAATTTCCCATTAATTTTTAAAGCCCCTCTCATATAGAACATATATGTAAATTATGAAGTTCAATAATATAATGTACACTCTTGAAATCAACTAATTTAAGAATTAAATTGCTGCCATTTATTTCATATACAAAGGGGACCCCAAAAAATGGAAAGCAGCGCCGCTGAGCAAAGCTTTTGTAGTATGAACTGCCCCCTTCCCCCATCCTGCAACTCACTCTGAGTTAGTGCACCCAGTGGCATCACCTGGGAAGGTTCTTTCTGGTCACAGTGAACTTTTTGTAAAAGCAGTTTTGCGGGAACCTCGTTTTTTGTAACGATCGGTTTAAGAAAACAGTTTGTGGCTGTGAAATTTTGTTTCCTGCTCAGGAAAAATGCAGCAGAAACTGTTGTGATGTTGAACACAGCTCACGAGGACAGCACTATGGGAAAAGCTCAAGTGTACGAGTGGTTTTCTCATTTCAAAAAAGGTGAAATGTCGATTGACAAACCTCATGCTGGACATCCAACAACTTCCCAAAATGGATGAAAATGTGGACTTGTAGTGCATTTGGAATTCATTCCATCAGGTCAGACTGTTAATCAAGTTTTCTATTTAGAGGTTCTGAAAAGATTGCATGGCAGTGTGCAACCAAAAAAGGCCTGATATGTGACAGATGGGTTTGCCACCAAGAAAATGCACCTGCTCAGACAGCCATCTCAGCGTGCCAGCTTTTGGCAAGAAAAAGTATGTCTCTCTAGCCCCATGCACCTTACTCACCTGACCTCACTCCATTAGATTTCTTTTTGTTTCTGGGAATGAAGAGGGACAGGAAAGGTCAGCGATATGACAAAGTAGAAGAAGTGAAGAAAAAAACGAGGGAAGTGCTGTAAGCCATCCAAACAGATGACTTTGAAAAATGTTTCCAAAGAATGGAATTGCAGATTTGACAATTGTATTAAGTGTGATGGCAAGTACTTAGAAGGTTGTTTTGTAAAAAAATTTTAATACATAGTGTTTAAATACATAGTCTGGGTGTACTAGAGAAATGAATCATAAAGATCAAAACTGGCCCGTGGTAGTGTTTCTTCTTTGGCTAGCTAGAGGTCAGATATGTCCAGGCAGTTTACTGTGTTGTTTTCTGAAAAGAATATGGGAAGTTAAAGTTTTCATTATTTTGTCTGGTTGTTGTCTTTGGCTATTCCTGCTTGAGATGATGAAATGGTGTTAATGTATATTTTGAGCTCAGGGGTAGAAATCGCCCCTTGAATTTCTCAGAAACCATGCTGCTTAGGGAAAATGGCTGACAGAAGGGCAAAATGGCTGACAAAAAGCCTGGCTCTGGCTTGATGCTGTCAGAGGTCTAATCCCGTATTTGTATCAACAGGATAATATAGATAAGGATTAAGATAAGATAGATAAGGATTGAACTTGACTGTTTTGAATTGAGTTTAGGACCTGATTCTTAGTTTATACTGATTTCTTCTGCTTATTATCTATATAATGATTGATAAAAAATGACTATTGGGAAGTGTGAAAATAGAAAGCTTGCAAGCCCACTTGCCGTGAACCATTAAAATTTTATCTTTAAATGGGTTTAGGACATACCTGGAAAGAAGGCTCTGAAAAGTGCTTTGGAGTACGCAGGACATTGGCATTCCAAGAGACTTGCCTGGGGACTGTTGACAGATTGAAGGAAAAAGAGCACTCTTTGGATTTTTGAATTTTTAAATAGTGGTTTTTGTCAGAGGCTGGAAAAAAAGCTGGAGCCATGAAGAAAACTCCTCTCTAGGACTGAATGTTAAAGGGAGCCTGTGGGCAAGCTGAAATGCTTGCTAGGTGAGAACCTGGATCCACTTGTTGAATGGAAGTGAGAAAAATGCAGCAATAAAGAAACCAGTTGAGTCTGGCCACTGACATCCATAGACCTGGTTTACAGGAACTAGAGAAGATGAGAGTGGGTTGACTGGTCTGAAATTCATGATCTAGCCCAAGGGGGTTGAGTTGTTGAGAATATGTGATGGGGCCATGGTCTAAAGGCAAGGTGACCAATGAGCCCCCTGAGGAGGCTAAGTGAGGCAGCCCACAATGAGTTGACCAGAACCCAAGCAGATGAAGAGAAGATTTTTGAGCCTGTGAACTGGTGCATGTTGCTGCAGACTTTATGGACACCCTGTCCTGATTTGACTTTGCTTATGGATGTGTACTTCACAAGGTTCCAACCAGAATGAAGTTTCTTCATGTCAAAGATTATGATTATTTCTTCAAAACACTGGGTGGATGTAAGTGGGCAGTATAGAAATTGGATACCCAAAGTGGGGAGAATAAAGGCATGAAGTGGCTGGCTTACAAATTTTCATAGGTGCGAGAATATATTCATAGGATTAAAGGATTAAGGTGTAGGTGTTACTTAACTGCTATTGTTAGGCATAGGATATTTTTGTTTTGTTCATTTATAGAATGTTATGCTTAAATGAGGATGGTACATATTGAATTACATGCATTTTAGTTTTAACCTGTTAGGTACAGATATGATTTTATTATTGTTTGAAAATTATATATGAGTTGTATGAAAGTGTCAAATTGACAAGGGGTGGTCTGTGGTAGTTACACAATCTGTTGTCAATTTGAGATTTGAGTGAAGGGGTGGAGTTTAGCCTGTCAATCAGGTCACAGCCTGATGACCTAATTTGGAGGCACTAAGGTGATAAATAGCTTCTTGGAGGAGGGACACACGCTCACTCCCTGAGAGAAATTCCTCTGAAAAGACATATGGAACTATGCTAGAGACCTGGGAGCCATAGGAGTCACGTGGACACCCCTGCCAGCACTGAGATGCTTCTATCGCCACTGGGTCCTCAAGACTTTGCACTCACTGGACAGTTACCTTCCTGCATTTGGCATTATTGCATGGCTGTGTGATTCTAAAGAGGAATTTATGAACTAGTATTGGGCATATGGGCTAATATTGGACTTACGGACTTGATCTAGACAGGGTTGGGATGTTTTCTTAATGTACAATTGCTCTTTGATAGAAAGCCCTTTCTTAAACACATATGCGTGCCTATGAATTTGTTTCTCTAGTCAACCCAAAGTAATACACATAGCTTTGAAAAAATAAATCATGATTTTGAGGGGTTACCCCCTCATATATTTTGGGTAAGTTTTCTTTTGAGTTTTTGAGTTTTCAAAAAATGGAATCAAAGTATATACCAAAACCAAACCTGTTGCCATCACATGAATTCTTGCTCATAGTGACCCATGTCTTACAGAGTAGATGTCTCCATAGGATTTCTTGGCTATAATCTCAATGGAAGCAGACTGCCAGGCCTTTCTTCCTTGGTACCATGGTGGGTTCAAACTGCCAGTATATAGGTTAATAGTCAAATGCAAACCATTTGTTCCACCTAGTGACCTCAAACTATCTTGCTTTTTAAACTCCATGCAGCTCAGTGACCTGGTTCCTAAACCAGATAATTTTACCGTTAGCATAGGATAAAGGGGAAACTCTACAGTAGTAAAAGTTTAAAAAGTAAGAGAAAAGAAAATTTACAGAATAATCAGAATAAGTTTGTATATGAGTATAGACATACATATACACTGTGAAGGAAAACATTTCAGATTTTAAAATTTGGTGAGAGACATTTTGAGTAAGAAATCTCTGACTTTCATTTCACTCCACTAATATAAAAGGAATTTACAGTATAAGTTGTTATGAGTTTGTTTACATTTTCATGAGTTTCACAACAAGCATGTGGTAATTTACCGAATACTGTATAACTTTCTATTTCTTCCTCTAACATCTGAGTATCTGGAATTTCTGAAATCAGTGGGGCAGGTGGGAGAAACCAATCTGATTTTTCATTGTCTGGATATCTATATAAAATATAAGAATATGAATATATAAGTTAGTAGTATATAACATCAGACACGAGAGATAATGAATTTATCAATTAAATATTACTCAATTTCAGTCTCTCCAATAAGCATCCCATAAGCAAACTTTCTGTTAACTCTTGCTATTTAACTTCAATGTACCCTATACAGCAGCATTCTCAAATTTTTGTTCTCTGATATATGTCATAAGATGTTGTTACATGCGATTTACTATCTAAATAATAGCTCTAACTCCATCTCTAAATGCCAGTAATACGAACTTAAATATACTCCAATTAAAAAGACAAAGTAGTAAATAATTTGTAAACTTACATCTTAAATGTTACAAGTAGCAAAACACTTATGACACACCTCACAACTAATCACCAGTTATCAATATTTAAATGAAACGCTTATTGGTGCTCTAGAGTATTCATACAGCACCATTATAGATTATTGTACTAAATGCAAAAATTATTAGTCCAGAACCATCTACAAACCACAGAAAATCTAAGAGATCAGATGAACTGACAAACTGCATATGTGTATAGATTGATAGGTGGATGGAATACTACCTCTAACTTACAAACACCATGGATTTCTTTTATCTCTATTTGCATCAGTAGTGCCTAATTCAACAAATGTTTGCTGATTCAATTCCATGAATCTTCACATTAACAGTCATATTTGAGAGCCCTTTTCTGTCATTTAAGGCCCTCCAGAATCTAGCCACAACTTATTTTTCCTGAGACCTAGTGTTTCCTCATTACGAAACCATTCTAGTAAAACTTATCTCTACAAAAACCAAAATCTCACTGCCATTGAGTCCATTCCAACTCATCGTGACCCTAAAAGTCCCACTGTCTCTTCCATCCTCATTTCTTTTCACTTAGTATTACACTCCACCTTAAAATATCCATTTCCTCTGTACTATTAGAGTTAATGTCAGCTTTCAAAACTTCCTGAAGTCTCCAGATGACTATTATAAAGCCAGAATTTAACTCCCAAATGACCTCTCCAAATCTGAAACTTCATTGTATGAAAATAAGTGAGCTTCAAAAAGCTTGTGGGAAAATTACATTACATTTCAATGCCATTATTTCCATGAACTTTTTCCATCCCACTTACAGGCTCATCCTTTACTTTACACATATTTTGACGGTGGCTACACATTGGGCAGCTAAGTGCAAGGTGAGCAGTTTGAAACCACTAGCCTCTCCAAAGGGAAAAAATGGGCTTTTCACCTTCTGTAGATTGTTACAGTCTCAGAAATTCACAGGGGCAGTCCTACTTTGCCCCACTGAGTCACTATGACTCAACATCAACTAAATGGCAGTGAGTTTTGTTCTATTGTTGCTTGCTTTTTTCAATTTTCACAGCAATGACCATATGTTCCAATTTGCTCCGGCCAGTCCGGCTAACACTTATTGCCCAATTTGGATGCACTCTATCTCTTTAAAAGTGTCCTAGCCTGGATGATGAATTACATGTTGTACTGTACTAGTATTTCTTCAGAGCCTCCCCACAAAACAAACTCACTGCCCCCGAGTCAATTCTGACTCGTAGAAACCCTATAGGGCAGAATACAACAGCCCCTGCAGGTTTCGGAGACTAAATCTTATGGGAGTAGAAAGCCTCATCTTTCTCCCAGAAAGTGGCTGGTGGTTTAGAACTGCTGGCCTTGTGTTAGCAGCCCAACAGGTCATCCTTTAAACTACCTCTTCTCAACTAGATTTCATGTTTTTGTAAGTAAAAGAATAGTTCTTCCTTTTCATATACCTTTTGGCATCCAAACATTTGAATGAGTGAAAAAATAAATGAATTAAACAATGAATACTATTACTTACTCTATATTTTATTAGAATACAACAGATAGAGAAATTTTTTAATCGAGAAAAATATGAAATGGGAAAATTCAAAGAATCCTGTAAGATATTCTGGAAACTTATTTCATTTGGTTTTACATCTTTATTTCCACCCATACTTTCTGCCAGCACTGAGTTTGCCTATTATGTTTGGTCTTTGATCAGACTGTCCATTCTGTTTCCAAAATATGCCATCACTCCTTATCCTGAGCTACTTTTTGACCATTCTTCCAGATTTTACCTTGGCCAAAAATAATGTGAACAAATAAAAAATGGGAGCCAAAAAGGGAAACAATCTACTAGTTTTTAAATAACTATTAAGATGCTAAATTTCAGCTACTGCCTTACATCTGAATTGTATGTTTACCAAATATACATGACTACAACACTAGGTTAGTCCCTGGTTTACAAATCTATATATTCACTATATTTTGTTATATATTATGTTACTTACATATTCATAATTGTATACTTATTTACAGAGAAAAAACTAAAACCTCCTAAATATGAAGGGGAAAAAACCCCTATACAATATACTGTGTTTTCATTCTGTAAGGCATACTTACTTTCCAGTTTCCTTTGGTTTTTCAAAAAACAAAGTCTCCAAAGAAAACATGCTGTCATTTGATTTCAGCATTGCTGAAGCTCTGAAAAAAAAAGTTTCATATTTTATTTACAAAGCCATAGAAAAAGATTTCTAGATAAACTATAATTATTAATTCCCTAGCACGTCCTGGAAAATCTAATCAGAGACTACTTTGTAGCTTTACTGTCTGCAACTTCTTACAAAGTGCTTCTAATGAAGTGTTCAAACAGATTATTCTGTTTTCACTCATCCATGCAGGGCCACACTTCTAGGCCTCTCTTACTACTTACTGATCCATTGCTTAGACTGTGGTTTTTGTTTTGTTTCCCATTTCCCATCTAGCAAATTCCTACTCATCCTTGAAGTATAGGTCAAATGTCATTTCTTCTTCAAAGGCTTCTCTGAATTTGTTCTCTTCCCCAAAGCAAAATCAAAGCATTCATTTTGGGTTCTTTTCATCCTCTATTTTACAACTTGAGATAGTACATCTTATTATAAATGTGCGTATCTCTAACAATTTACTATGGATGCATGCAATACACGAAGAATGTCTTTATAAGCTTTCTATGTTCATTATAAAATTTCAGTAACTTGTTAAAATGAGAATTAAAAATATAAACACAATCGACAGGGTACATTTATTTAAATAAAATTGACTTCAGCAAATTAATATTGATGCATTCCACGTGTATTTGCCTATCTTTTATTTTCTTTCTGTGTCCACACACACATTCAGAATGTAACATCTTAGAAGTTAGCTATATGGATGGTCAAATTCTAGAACACAGTGAAACAACGTTCTAAAATACCAACTTATTTAGCTTTCCATACAGTTTTTCCTGTTTTATCCACTTTTTCCTTCCTCATGATGGTGCTAGTATGTTTTTGTCTTTTCAGGATTCATGCTGTTCCTCCAGGAATCTCCAACAAGTAAGCTGTATAGCTTGAAAGAAGTACTTCCCAAAATTCTTTCATGGGAATCCAACAGATGTTTCAAGTCAAATAAATTTGGGAAGTTTAACAGAATTCTTAATTTTTACTGGTAGATGAGACCTTAATACAATAATGTACATTCTGAATCAAAAAATAGGGATTCAGAACACAGCCCAGCATTTACCAAATGTAGAACATCACACTCAGTATTCCGCTAAGTCTCCTAGGAAACTAATATACCATATATACTCAAGTATAAGCCAACCCGAATATCAGCCGGCACACCTAATTTCACCGTAAAAAAATGTGCTAAAAACCTCGGCTTATATTCGAGTATGTACGCTATGTCAGAACACTTCCCTCATTCATTAACAAATTTTTATAGAGGAATTATTATGACTCAAGTATTATGCTAAGTCCTAGGAAAAATTCAGAAAAGGCTGTTGTAGTTTTTATCTAAGACCTGATAAATCATGAGAGTCCTACATTTAACTTGGTCTTCAGGAAATGTACACCAACTTTACAAGACTATTGCATAATTCCTTCCAAAATTCTTTAAATTTTTGAGCATCATCTTATGGAGAAAGCCACATTACCAAGTGAGATTGCTGTGTGCTGTCAGGTCGATTCCAACTCACAGCAACCCTCTATGTCTCCAATTTTCTGGAAGAGAGCTATTTTATTGTACACCCCTGATAAAATTAACCGGTAAAGAGTTATCATGCCAAGTTAAGAGTCAGAATATTGTGGCCTTTTCTTTTTCCTTGCTTTAGTTATTGGGTTTTCCTTTTTCTATTTGTTTAACTTGATCAACCCCACTATTTTTATCAATAGTCTCTCAGCAGCACCAACCACTACTTGTCTATTCATCTTTCTAATTGTAGAAGCACTATATATTTTTTAATTAACAAAAAAAAATTTCTAAATTAAAACTCAGCAGATCACATTCATATGACTTGCTACCACATAATGTAAGTAGAAAATCTTATCATTCTTAAGCTAATATTTATGTGCTTCAAATCTTTATTCTGAGAAAAACAGAAAACAAGATAATAAAGCTTTGTTAGAAATATTTGTTTCAGAAAAAAAATGTTTCATAAACTGAAAAGTCCCCTATATAAACAACAAATATTTACAAATGAGCTTTTAGTTAAATTTCTAGTGCTCGGTCTAGAGCCTAACTTGATTGGATTGAAGATATGTGTATATTTTAGTCTCCTGCAAAATAAACATATCCTCTATATAAAATTCCTGATCCCATATTCTGCATTACTCTTCATAGCGCTATTTGATAACTGGTATATTACATAGGGCAGGAGAAAAACTGGGCTTTCTACTTCCATAAACAGTTACAGTCTCAGAAACCCACAAGGGGTCACTCACTATAAGTCAGCCTTGACTTGATGGCACTGAGTTGGTTTTTGGTTTTATATTACATAGGAGCCCTGATGATGTAGTGGTTACCCACTGGGCTGCTAACCACGGGTCAGCAGTTTGAAACCACCAGCTGCTCCTTAGGAGATAGACAGGTTTCTACTCCTGTAAAGAGTTAGTCTCCAAAACCCATAAGGGCAGCTCTTCCTTGTGGATTTAAGTGGGAATCAACTCAATAGCAGTGAGTTTGGTTATGGTTTATTATATTATATAGGGTGGTTTGGTGGCTTAGTGATTAAATGTTGGGCTGCTAACTTCAGGGTCAGCAGTTTGAAATACTCAGCTGTTCCTTAGGGGAAAGATGAGGCTTTCTACTCCCTTAGAGTTAGTCTTAGAAACCGATGGGGCAGTTCTACCCTGTCCTACAGGGCTGCTATGAGTCAGAATCAACTCGATGGCAGTGACTTTGGTTTGGGTTTTATATATTTAGCTGTTTATTATCTTTCTCCCTCTATACACATAAATTCCCAAACTTGGCGTACCACCCACTTTTGAGGAACAAAATTACTCAGCATCTCCCTGGCAATTAAAAACTTTCATACTAGTGCCTGTAACCCAGGATAAACTAAGTCTCTCCTTTCGTAGCCATTCCCCTTGGATTGTTCCAGCGCCCCCTCTGCACCACCTACTTTGGGAAATACAGCCACTTGAGCAGGGAGTCCTGGTGGTGCGGTGCTTATACGTTGGGCTACTAACTACCGTGAGGTCAGTAGTTCGAAACCAGGAGCTGCTCTTCAGGCAAAAGAGGAAGCTTTCTACTCTGTAAAGAGTTACAGTCTTGCACTACAGGGGCATTTCTACTCTATCCTAGACAGGTCACTATGAGTTGGAATCAATTTTATGACAGTGAGTTTTATATTCTAATAACCCAGAACAGGGCCAAGTACATAACAGATAATTCATATAACTCACTGAATAATAATTGCACTCACAATGATTACTTTACAAAGACCGTTTAAAACAATAAGTTCTGTCTGGTTTGGAACTTAAACTTTTACCCCTCTAGCCTTTAATGTTGTTTTAAAATGATAATTATTCTAGTTCATGATTAATTTAAGAAAATCATGAAAGTTCTAAAAGACAATGGATTTGGTACTATCATTGTGTAAAAAAAAGAGCTTAACAAGAGCCCCTGCTCATTCTCAATGAGTTTGTGATATTAGGGAGTGCAAATTTTTTTATTAAAGTTTCAGGTTTAAGCTTGGATTTTTTTAAAAAAAGTCTTTATTGTCTATTACAAGCTTTAAATTTCTGCATGTAGTATAAAATTATATTGCAAAACAAATAATATAATCTTATTTTTAAGAATGTTTGCTTATACTATAAGAGAAACAAACCAAAAAATCTCACTGCCATCAAATCAATGCTGATGCATAGCGACCCCCTGAGTTTCCAGACTGTTTACAGGAATAGAAAGCCCAATCTTTCTCCCTCAGAGCTGTTGGTGGTTTCAAACCGCCGACCTTGCATATCGCAAACCAGGGCACCTTATACTGCAATAATCACTATAAAATTACTTAACCTATTTTTATGATTTGTTGTCTGGGGATGTGATCTAAACCAGTCCAGTATTTTCGATAACGCTTACTCATTGTGGAGTACTTTCGGATTTGGTATTCCTCACGGTTTTTACGCGAGATATACTCCTGATTTCAAACGTGCAAACACTTGGATATAATTTTTGATCTGTCAGAAATCGTCACTGAGGAAGCCAAACCCAACCGTCACTGCTGAAAAACAGGGCATTGCGGGGAATTTGACAGGAGGAGGCAAGAAACATAGCAACAACTCCCTGGCCCGGGAGCAGACGCTCACGTCGCCGTCCCTGACCTTCTCCTCCTCCCGCAGCACCGAGAGGACTCAGGCTCCAGCCCGGAACAGAGCCAAAAGATCCCGGCGGATTTCCAATGGGATCGCTCAAACCCAGACAGGTTCCCCGCAGACTCCCACCCTGAGGGCCTGCGCGGCGTCACTTCAGCCCGGAGCTCGGCTCTCTCCGCCGACACAAGACGGGACTGAAACAGGCCCGCAGACCCACCCGGGCTCCCTCCGGGGGCCAAACACACCGGGAACCAAACGGGGGGCGCAGAGCTACCTACACACGTCCTTTCGGGGAGCGCGCGCCC